TATCATTGTTATTATTACAATACAAGCCACATATATATTTATATTATTAGTATTATCACCATCACCATCACATCACAACAACAACAATACAATAATGATCCGTGTAATAATAGTAATAATGATAATGATAGGCCTAATAATATGTTAATAATATGAAAACAGCAACAACAACAACAATAATTGTATGTATAATCTATCCGTAACGCATTCCAGTATCCAGTGAAAGGCAAGATAAAATTGTGCGTAGGCTTACTATGTTTGCTTGAAAGCTCAACTTTCACCACAGATTGATTGGTAAGTTGGCCTGTTACAAATAATCATGCTTTACTATGATGTTGTCAGTTTTCACTGGCGTAATAGTATGATCAAAACAAGGGACATAACCGCAGGTAGGCTACTTATATTTATAACGGCTGACGCGAATGTCGATCACAAAACCGCGCTGTCGTCCGCGTGACTCTGTCACCGTCATGTGACCAAGCCCAACCAACCACCGACGAGAACATGGTTTGTTCTATTTTTAGAGTCACGTTGCAACCCTCGCTTTTCGTGGCCCATGTCATCCGCTGAGCATCGAGCCTGTGTGTATACTCCGACGACTGCTGCAGAAACAGAACCGATCAGTAAGGAGTAAGGGCCATCTCTGAAGAAGAAGAGAGTGAATCAGTTTCAAGTGCTATAGATGTGCTCGTCCTTGGAGTTCCAGAATACGTGAATATACCTTTTTGAACTGTTATTAGATCTACCATTAAAATATCGTTAATAATGAAGGAGAACTTACCAGACAACCCCACCAACATGTCACAGGACCCGAAAAAACATTCGCTCTTTTGGTTTCGGAAAGGCCTTCGCATACACGACAACCCTGCCTTGATCGCTGCCATAGAGGGGGCTTCCACATACCGATGTGTTTATATTCTTGATCCTTGGTTTGCTGGCGCATCACAAGTTGGAATAAATAAATGGAGGTAAGATCATACATTTCATAGTGTCCCTTTCCCATTGACCCCCCCCCCCCTTTTTTTTTTCCTCGTCACCAATGAGTCCAATGACATGTTATCCTTACCAAATGCCACCCTAAGCCCCAACAAGCTCTCTTGCGACACTAACTAAATCCTATAATCGTGAAAAATTCAATAGATCTAGAACAAAAAAAAGAAGAAAAAAGATGTCACCATCGTTTAACTAATTTAATCTTGGTCTGTCATTTTCTAGATCTAGATCTAGATATTTGAAAGAATTCTCAATTTACATTTTCTGTGTGTACGTACTGTAGAGGCACGTCTATTATTTACTCTAATAGATCTAGATCTAGATCTAGATCTAGATTAGATCTAGATTTAGATCTAGATCTATATGAATGCTTGGTTTTATTTTCATTGCTGATTTTTATCATCATGATGGATTTGTTTATTTCAAACCAAAAAACTTTAAAAAGGGTGTTCTACAACTCTATCTCAGCTGGATCTGATCACCAACCAATTGTGAATAATGAGATCCACCTGATACTCTCATTGCTCATAATCTTATGTCATCAGACTTCATCACTGCTCGCTGTCCTGATCTAATCATAACAGACATGACGGATCAATTTCTAAACAGACACTAGATCTACTCTGTTTTTGATAGATCTAGATCTAGTAAATTGTGGAAGTTTTCTCTTTTTTAACTTATTTAAAGACAAGTTTTTGGTCTTGCAACTTTGGGTTTTTTAAAGCACACATCAACACAATAAGATCATTTCGAAATGGACTGTGACCCTGCCTGTCAGTAAGACAGAGATATATTTGGATGTAAGAAATTTCCCCACACGAGAATCGAACTCAGGTCTTCTGCATGAAACAGCAAAGCATATATATAATATATATAACTTTTTCACCACAGACAACTGTTCAGCCCACAACTTTAGTTTGGTAGAAGTGGGAGATGTTGAAATCAATAATAATTTTGTTGAGGCACAATTTTTATGAAATAAAGAAAACTAGTTTCAGACAGATTGTGGTAGACCTCTACTCTGTGCTTTGATCTTGACCTGATACAATGAAGGATGGGGAATACTGAAAAATTGGAGGCAGATCATCAAGACGAGCTAACGTACCCAACCTCGGTAGGCTACTTGATTGATCCGTGTACAGTCAGTGGAACCTGGTCTGACACTAACCGCCATCTGACCTGTTCAAGACGATCATCTGTACAAACATCCACTTCTCTCTGTCCCCCCATCCCCCCTCCCCCCTTCCCTGCCACATTTCTTCCTATAATATATAATAATGATGCTATCCAAGACAACCACTTTTTCTCTTTGACAATATTGGTGACTGTTTTGTCCAGACAATTTTGTTTGCACTTCGTTTTGTAGGGCCTACATGATATTCATTCCAAATACTACTTGAAACTGTCGAAAGATATATATAT